AGTGTTCCAGGCACTGGGGATACAGCAATGAATAAAACAGATAAAACTCCTGCTTTCCTGAAACCTACATTCTCAAGGAGCTGATGCTGGTGGAAGAACAGCACACGGTTCCCCTCCAGCCATGCCCACATCAGGAAGGCTCCCCTGAGGCTGCAGTCTTCTCTTCTGAGTAATTAACGATGTGCCATCTATTAGCTTCTAGTTAATACCTTTCCAACAAGCTTCTAAGCTCTGAGAGAGCTGGGACAGAGTCTTCTCCCTCTCTCGTCCTTCCCACAGTTTACAGACAGTGCCAGGTATATAACAGGTTTTAAAGAAAAGTATGTAGGGGGTATAATATTGTATTGAACCTAATGTTCAGATACATCAGATGAGCTTTCTGTGACAGACCATTTAATTCTGGGGTCAGAATATTTTAGAAAGAATAAGTTAATGACTTACATACAGAAAGTGCTGAATAAATGAAGGGATGAATTGTAGGTCTAAAAAATAACGAGCTACTATTTGAATTATACTATCTAATCAGTTCAGAAGGCTTATGAGATAGATACTATTTATATCTCCACTTCATGGAAGAAGACTTGGAAGTTTTGAGCTATTAAGAACATTGCCCAAGATCATGCTGCCAGAGACAAGTGGAGACAGGATTCAAACTCAAGAACTTTGATACCAGTGGCTCTTAACACCATGTCATGCTGCCCCCTAAAGGTAACCCCAAATGAATCCAAATTTGGGGAAAGCTTTCCTTCCATTCAATATTTTTTCTGGTTTCTTCTTTGAGATAGACTTTCAAATACTCATCATTTGGTTTTCATGCTAATGTTGCCCCACTTGCTAATTTGGATATATTTAGCTTTTCTCCCCCTATTTCCTTTTAAGGCCTGGAAGGGTGGTCCTTATTCTCATAGAAATGTAATAGGCACATTACCCTTCTCAGCTTCAGGACTGACCTGAAAATTAGGTGAGACAGACAGTTTTTCGTGAATTTAGAACTTGAAGGGTGCTAGAAAGATCTTTCTCACAAAATACCCCTCACTTGCTTCCTGATGTTGAAACCTCACCAGCATAGCTTCATTGCTTGGCTTCAAGCCATGTCCTTTGTCAAAATGCAAATACACCGGGGATAGATAAATGACATTGTAATCCGGACAGCCTGGCAGCCTGCCTGTCTTCCTTTTTCCTCCATTTTTTCCTTTATTAAATATTTTTAGAGGAAGACTCTAGCCAGGTACTGGGTGCTGGAGGTTCAAATAAGTAAGAAATGGTCTCTGCCCTCAGGTAGGTTTTGATTCTGGGAGCAAATGAATGTAAAATAAATGCAATTCAGTGTTTTAGATGCTATGGTGGAGCTCTTTTAAGGTGCAGGGACACCCAAAAGATTCTTTTCCGGGGGTGTATTTTGGTGATAGGAGAAGGTTTGGAGTGAGTATGAGTTCACTGAGATACTATAGAGAAAGAGAAAGAATGACAGTGAGAAAAAGAGTTCACAAAGAAAACCCGAGAAGCAAAGGTTTAATATTAGGTGATTTTAGAACTAAGAGTGCAGTGGGCCCGTCTCACACAAACCTAATCATCAGGCCATGTGTTAAAACACTCTAATAAAAGAAGGATTAGCACATTGATGTTGATCACACATCACCTTCTAATTAGCCACAGCAAAGTATATGTATATGCTTTTAATAAAACTTTTTGCTCCGCCCCTTCAAAAAAATAAATAACTAAAATAAAAGGATTAGCATTTTTGAAAAAGGGTCACACATCACCTTCTAATTAGCCACAGCAAAGTATATGTATATGCTTTTAATAAAACTTTTCGCTCTGCCCCTTCAAAAAAATAAATAACTAAAATAAAAGGATTAGCATTTTTGAAAAAGGGTTTGTATCTATTCTGCAAGGCAAAGAAGGACGTTGTGATGGACAGCCACAGAGGCAAGCATTTCTTAATTGTATATATCAGGCAACAAACTTTTTCTATAAAAGCCCAGATGGTAAGTATTTTAGGCTTTGTGGGTCATACGGTCCCTGTTGTGACTACTCAACTCTGCCACTGCAGCACAAAACCTTCCATAGACTATGTGAAAAGGAATGGGCTAGGTGTGTTCCAATAAAACTTTACTTACATAAACAGGTGGTGGACTGAATTTGAGCTGTGGGCCATAATTTTCTAGCCCTTGGCTTATACCATTTAATAGGCATAATGTTTTGAGGTGAGGACCCTAGTTCCTGGGTAGACAGCAGGGCCTCATGCAGAACCCTTTTCCTCAGGTTATGTGACCCCAGCCTGGTAAGCAGCTGTTTGAAGGAAGTAGGCCCTTTGAACAAATGGCTGTGGTGGAAAAGACTGCAGACACAGGAGGAAGCAAAGGGGCAGGGAGCAAGCAGAAACAGACAGGGGATCTGCTTGTTTATTTATTTGCTTCTTGTAGTAAGGTAAGAATGTCTACTTAAAATATTAGTTCATGGATTATATTTACCTAGTATCTTATTATCCATTCAACAAACGTTGCCTACTATATGCCAAGTATTGTGCTAGGTCCTAGAGAAACAATATTGAATAATTCAGGATCATCACTACAAAGTATCCAAATGACCTCCTCTCCAATCCCCTATTGTGACTTTCTGTAATATTCAGCTGTTGTATAGTATGTGATTGTGACATATTGAACCCCACAGTTTTGTAAAGCCTCAAGACCTTTGACCAAGTTGTTCTTTTAAATTTACCAAGACTATCTCTGTTATTTCCTCACAAAGATTACACATGCCAGTGAAAATTACCTTCATGTTGTCTTTTGCGAATGGCTTGATATATCCATTGCTCAGCCTTTATGTCTGCTCACTATCTCATAATCAAAGCTGGACCCAGATTTCACCTGCTCTAGGAGACATTCCTTTATTAAAGACTCACATATATATATATATATATATACATTCTAGATGCCTTCTCTAACCATCTTCTCAAAATCTCCACTCAGATGTTCCATAGTTCCTTAAATTCAACCATGTCCAAACCTGAAGTCAAGACCTACACCCCACACACCCTTATTTCCTTTCTTTCCCCAGGTTTATCTAGATCAGTGAAAGGAAACATTGGCCCCCCAGGTGTGAAAGCCAGAAGTTTGGAGTTAATTACTGACAACTTTCTTCCCCTCTCCCCTACGGTCTACCATTCACAAAGTCTAGGTGATTTTATCTCCTAAACATCTCTTGCACTGAGATACTCTGTTTTAACTCCACTGTCTTCATCATAGCCTAACTTACCAATTTAGAACATTCTAATTGTTCTGCTTGAGTTCACTGTCATCTAAATCCCATGTCTGTCCTACATCCATCTGATCATATCAGTTTATTTAATAATTTTATA